TCGGATCACAATACAGCTCAATCGTTGGAAATCCCAATAGATAGCAAATCCAATAGTGCAAAATATTACTTTATTAATAAACGAGATCTCAGCCCAAAAAACATGATTAGACTTAAGCAATGCCTGCAAAGTTTATCCTGGTCTGAGGTTTATAATGAGGTAGATTTGGATAGGGCATTTAATGCTTTCCATGATATCCTTACATTATTTTATAAATTATACGTTCCAATAAAAAGAGTAAAAATAGCTCTAAAACGAAAAAAAAGTCAGTGGATAACGAAAGGTATACGGATGTCATGTAAAACAAAGCGATTACTAAGATTTACATATTATAAAAATAGACATATCAACGACAAAATCAAATATAAAAAATATACAACCATATTAAAAAAATGTATAAATAACTCGCAAAAAAACTGTAATAAAAAATATATAGGGACATGTACAAATAAATGTAAAGCATCTTGGACTCTAATAAAAAATTCTAGTAATTTGAAATTAAATTATATAAAAAAAATTACACATGACGGCAAAAATATATACGAACCAAATGACATAGCGAACCTTTTTAATGATTATTTTGCAATATTAGGCGATAGGGATAGCACGACAAATGTGCTAAATAATACCCACAACCACGTCCAGTATGTGAATGATACAATTTTTCTATTTCCCACTGACAGTGATGAAATAACTAAAATAATTGCGAATCTCAAAAACAAAAACTCTGTAGGATATGATGAGATCCCTACAAAAGTTCTCAAGGCTACTAAAACTGTAATTGCGCCAGTATTGAGTTACTTAATTAACCTGTCTTTTACACAGGGCATTTTCCCTGAAAAATTAAANTACAATACGTAGAGATTAGAAATCTAGATAAATATTTAAATGAAAGGACATATAGATCATATACACAAAATAAGATCACTGGCGTACCGCAGGGTAGTATCCTTGGCCCATTGTTATTCCTATTGTATATTAATGACCTCCCAAAATCCACGCAACATTTTTGTACATTATTTGCTGACGATGTATCGGTGGTGATTCCAAATACATATGACTCATTGACAGAATATAATAACGACATTAACAATACAATTAACGACGTAATCAACTGGATGAAGAATAATAATTTGAAAGTTAATATTAAAAAAACCAAATATATTCAGTTTCATAATCAGAGAAATAATAAAACTTGTAAACTATCAATACAGCATAATGGACAAAACATTGACGAAAGTAATGAAGTAGTCTTCTTGGGGATAACCCTAGATAGTAGGTGCACATGGAAGCCACACATACATACGCTGTGTAATAAGATTAATAAGTTTGCATACGCATTGTGGCGCCTAGTGAACATTACAGATGAAAAAACTGCTTTATTAGCATATCATGGATATGTGGCTTCTATGCTTCGATATGGCATTATATTATGGGGCAATTCAGTAGACTCAGACAGAGCTTTTATTGCTCAAAAGCAATGCATACGCTCCATTTGTAAGCTATCCATTAGGACAAGTTGTAAACCTTATTTTGAAAAATTAAGGCTCTTAACATTACCCTGCATCTATATCTTTGAAATGAGCTGTTTTGTAAAGATGCACCCCTACCTTTTCAGAAGCAATAGTGAAGTAAATACAAATTATCGTGGACGCTATCCAAACACTGCCTGTAATGCTCACATCCTTGCAAAGTGACAACTGCTATCCAATGGCAGTACGAATTTTTAATAAATTGCCAGATGAAATAAAAACACTGCCTATTCGAGCATTTAAGACACGCTTATTTAAATTATTGGTTAGCAAATGTTATTACACAGTGCAGGAATATTTAACAGATAAGTCAATAAGAGTCTTTGAATAATTATATTGATGTTATAAATTATTATTAGATGACATTTGCAATTATGTATGTAATCGTTATTGAATTATGCTTGGTGAATCTTTGACATCGACAATTTCTGAATTTTTGACATTGAGTATCTACTATTGACATTTATATTGACATCTTACATTGATAATATTTTAATGGAATTTGTTGAAATGTTTAATAATTAATTAATTTAATATTTGCATGTCAGAAATGACTAATTGTGAGACCTAACCATTAACTGTATCCATCTCCTGTACCACATTTATAGCAAATAAATGATGATTCTGATTCTGATGATTCTGATTCTGATTCTGTTTACTCGTGAGTGTAATGTAATATAGCGAATACAAGGGCCGGTCTCGAGAGTTATCTTGACGACATTGTTGTGCTTTTGAAGATCATTAAGACTATCAAGGAATCACTTCGGAATCTTAGTTAATTAAATTACAATTTATGGTTTAGAAATACCTCAACGTATAATATTTAGTATAATTTGGAAGTTTTGAATTGTTTTTCATTTAAAACAACAAAAATTCACAGGAAAACGAACATGACGTGAAAAATATCCGTAGTTAGCAGTAGTATTTTGGCCAAAACAATATTATTTTAGCACTAGACTAAATCTATCAATCCTAATACAGTGCAAAAGAAAAACTGAAGAGTAGTGGCTTTTGCGCGGACTCGCCGGCGAAGCAAGCATTCGTCGCGAGCGCTATGAGCGGAGTCGCCATTGCGCTGGCCATGTGTCCCTTTGACGTCGTCACTGTCCGTATGACTAACCAGGGTAAACGAATTTGATGTTATACTGTGACGGAACGTCTGATTGAACGGGAATTGTCATACACCTCTGATGAAAATCGGCAAAATTTGGAGCGAGATCAAACGCGAAGCTCAAGACTGAACGCGATAGAGGACTGTTATGGACGCCTTCTGACTGAATCTAGGGGACATAGACCATAAGTCAAGTCTCAGATGAAACGTAACTGAGAAAACTTCCTTCTCGTAGTTAGCTAAGTTTCTATAGCGTTTGCAGATATGATTAATTACATCGGGTTAATTTCTAGTCTATTAATTAGAAAGAAAAATAATTTTCCTTCAGACGTATCTTCGCTGAAGTTGTGTCACGTTTGTTGTTGTAGCGTTTCTTATCCAAATTCAGAGTTAGGATATCAGTATTTTCAGAATATTATTATGTATTAGGTAAATGCTGGTCTTTGACGATGATGACAATTATTTTCAGAGTATACGTTCAATCAGACGTTTCGTCACACCCTGTATTTTGAATATTCCAGAACAAAAGATTACTTGAGAGCCTGCGGGTACTTTGAGGGCTCGCCAGCCGCTCTCGCGTTTGTAGCGAGCCTGGGGAGCGGCGTGCTGTGCGTCTTGATTGAGACACCGCTGGATGTAGCCAATACGCGACTTTATAACCAGGGTAACGAATTATACTGGGGTGCATCTGCATGCAACTTTGGTGAAATGTTTTTGGCTTTTGTGTTTGTTTCTGAATCTCACCTACTTGGGTAATGTTTGCGCGCTTTGAGTGGTTGAACCACGTTGAACCCCGCTTTTGGACAGTCCGATCTGGACTAAAATTGAACTTTATTATTCTGTAAATTGTAAGTCCTAAGCTAAACACGCACGTGATTCATAGGAAGTGCCCACCTAATATTTGATGATAATTTATCTCTATGAAAAAACCGTAAATAGAGATAGATAAGCCTTGTTTTAAAAGGTGTTATCTAATTTATCATTTACAAAATTAATTTGATATTATGCAGAATTGCAGACCTTCATAGGTGCAATTTCTGACCTCGATTTCGTTTTCTATTTTTTTCTGAAATGATTGTATAACCGAATCGAAAAACCACGATTTAAACGAAACAGCTTTGCCTTTAATGTTATTCGCGCTTTTGTCAATGTTGTCTGTTAATTTTCTATGATTAATCGCTTATCTATGGTGTTTGTCTGCCTTTCCACGGTCACTTGCTTTCTTTGATTTGTGTTCCTTGTGTTCCTACCCACGGTCACCGCTTTCGGCTTTTGTTCGGCAAATATTTTGTTCGTTCGATCTTGAAATATTAATAAGAATGGGACTCCTTTTCTATGGGTTTTTAATACATTCCATATTTTATGCTTGTTACTAATATTTCTGGGTAGATACAGGAAGTCACGGAAAGCCTGCTATTAATAAAGTAATGTCATGGTCAGGCAAATGTATTATTTTTAGATTTTTTCAATTTTTAGATAACATGGCCTGTTTTCCATTTTGGTTGTTCCATGACTTTCTGGACACCTGTAATTCTTCACCTCGTTCATTCCTCGTCCATATTATTATAAAAACTTATCATTTACACATCCATCATCATCATCGTTAAGTTTTGTGCAAGTAAAAAGTTAATTTCTACAGTCTTTTGTTTTTTTTTTTCATTTGACTAAAATATTGTTTTAATTTTAGGACATAACTATTAGCTTAGAAATTGAGAGACTTTTTTAAAAGGTTCTACCTATCTTTTTTTTCTTTTATTTATTTCTAGTTTTTTTTTATTTTCAGCCTCCGAAGCAAGTGGCAAACGACTCTACAAAGGCGTCCTGGACTGCCTCAACAAAATATACAAGACTGAAGGTCTCCACGGCATGTACAAAGGCCTGGGACCTCTCTACCTGAGGATAGCACCTCACACGACCCTCTCGTTAGTTATATGGGACATGTTAAATAATGTATTACTCGCTCATAAAAAAAGTAGTTGAATTTACAATGTGTTTTATTGGATAACCGATCGGAAATAGTGTTAAAATAGAAAATATTAGAGAAAAAAAGAACTAAACCTCCAAATATGAAGTGTTTAGTGTATTGTGTGTGTCAAAGCAACGGAAGGAAAATTAATTATACAGTGTGTCCGGGCATGTAGTGATCAAACTTTAAGGGCGTAATCTATGGACAATTTTATCGATGAAAATACTTCAAATTTGGGGCTTGACCCATTTCTCGAAAAATTACAGCGATTTAAGTTCTTAATTTTTAGTTTACACCTCTTCTTTAAAAAACAAGTGAAAGCGTGGGTAGCTTAACATTAATAGGCAAATATTTTATATCATGCGATAGCCAATAAAATTATCTATTGGTAGAAGAAGAAAGCAGACACAAGTTTCATACATTTTATGGGAGTAAGAATGGATTTAATTAAAAAAATACATTACTTTTTTCACTTCTTTTTCAGTTATTTTCCAACACAAGAAAAACCAGGTCGTTAAGGTATGTTTTATTTGCATTGTATTATTAGTATTTGAGCTATTCTACAAAACGAATGTAAATTTATAAGTCTACGTCTATTAGTTTCGACGTAATTGTTGAACAAAGATAACCCTTCCCAGCTGTTTCCATAGTAATCGGAATAGGTAGTGTGATTCTTTCGGGCAGTGCATTTTCACATGTCGCGTGCGCTATGGAAACCGCTGGGAAGGGGTATTTTTGTTCAACAATTACGTCGAAACTAATAGACGTAGACTAATAAATTTACATTCGTTTTGTAGAATAGCTCAAATACTAATAATACAATGCAAATAAAACATACCTTAACGACCTGGTTTTTCTTGTGTTGGAAAATAACTGAAAAAGAAGTGAAAAAAGTAATGTATTTTTCTAATTAAATCCATTCTTACTCCCATAAAATGTATGAAACTTGTGTCTGGTTTCTTCTTCTACCAATAGATAATTTTATTGGCTATCGCATGATATAAAATATTTGTCTATTAATGTTAAGCTACCCACGCTTTCACTTGTTTTTTAAAGAAGAGGTGTAAACTAAAAATTAAAAATTTAAATCGATTTAATTTTTCGAGAAATGGGTCAGGCCCCAAATTTGAAGTATTTTCATCGATAAAATTGTCCATAGATTACGCCCTTAAAGTTTGATCACTACATGCCCGGACACACTGTATAGTTCCAAAATCCTGAACTGTCCTATCCATGACATTGACAGTGGGGCGCCACCGTCAATACCGGATCGCTGGTTCATTTTTGCCATGTTGGAAACCATATAGTTGAACGATGGTAGCGCCCCCCTGTCATTGAGTTTGGCGGGACAGTTCAGCGTGGGTCATCTATTTCAGTCCTATTTCTGTCCTAGCAAAGTAATACAACACCTTTTACACATCACAATCTTTATTTTCAAAATTCAAACTCACATAGGTACAAAATAAAACAATCATCAAGACTGGCAAGCACTCGGAGGCGTAAAGTGTATCTCCCAATCGACCTCCATAGAGCTGCAGTTGGAACTCACATCGTCATCCTCACACGAGCAGCTGGAATATGCCTCTGGCTCCTCTCCTTCGAAGTCGCTGCACGTGCAGTCTGGGTTATTAGGATCATAGGGCGACAGACCCACTGCTTGCTTATAAGCTTTAAGACAAGTCCTCTCGCAAACCTCAGGGTGGTAGGGATCCTCCCAAACCTCATCTACAGCTTCCTGTATCAACCGTCTCTTTTTCCTTTCCAGCTTAGACAACTTCTCTTTATTATTTGCCTTAGCTATTCTGTACACAAGCGGAGTACACTGCTCTTGGTTCCCCTCACTGTTCTCTGGTGATCCTTGCATTTGAACTATGTATTCACCGTTGACTTTGCAAATTACCAATGTAGGTTTGGTTTCTGTTCGTTTCTTCGCTTTCTTTGAAGGCTTATTCAGCGCTACGGTTGACCTTGCCATCTTTATCCTTTTCAGTTTACGTAGCAACCGCTTTGATATGGCGCCCGGTCGCCATCCTCTGGCCACCTCCTGTAAATAATCTCATTTTAATACGATATTTAGAAGGTATCATATTAAACGAGTTAACAAAATAAAAATAAAACTTACTTTATTCATCAAACAATAAAGAAACTATTCTGAAAATGATAGAAAAAAAATATAAGAGTTTGGTTAAAGTCACAATATTTTTAATATCGNTAGTTCTTCGTTTCACTTGTTTTATTGCACGTAACGACGCATTATCCAAAATATCGGAGAACATTTCCTTAGTACGACTGAATCGCGACTAACCTAGCTACGCGGCCGATGTTCGTTTCTGGGCATATCGCGGTGCCACGCGCCACGCCCCCGTTTCACATCTATTCCCTTCTATGATCTGAGGTCACACCCTGTATTTTGAATATTCCAGAACAAAAGATTACTTGAGAGCCTGCGGGTACTTTGAGGGCTCGCCAGCCGCTCTCGCGTTTGTAGCGAGCCTGGGGAGTGGCGTGCTGTGCGTCTTGATTGAGACACCGCTGGATGTTGCCAATACGCGACTTTATAACCAGGGTAACGAATTATACTGGGGTGCATCTGCATGCAGCTTTGGTGGAACTGTTCTTGTCTTTTTGTGTTTGTTTCTGAATCTTAATCTCACCTACTTGGTTAATGTTTGCGCGCTTTGAGTGGTTGAACCCCGCTTTTGGACAGTCCGATGTGGACTATAATAATTGAACTTTATTATTCTGTAAATGTAAGTTCGAAGCTAAACACGCTTGTGATTCATAGCAAGTACTTACCTAATACATGTATTGTTATGTTATGTGTTATGTACAGTCGCGGAATGAAAAGGTTCGTCACCTTAGTGTCGGTTTTCGCTTGCACTAGGTGCACAGATTAAGTAGAGAGTCTCACTAGGTGCTGTGAGAGTCAAACCTGCCAACATAACAGTGCAAGAAACAGTGCTGCTAACATTTAAATAACGTATGACGTTTGCTAACGAATAAGGTTTTGCTTGTTTATTTTTCTATCCCATCAGTGCAATGCAATGATGACATTGACCAATTGACAATAGTTTTTTTTTATTTAAAAGAAATAATAATGGCAGGTTGAACCAACAAGAAGGTTTTAGTTTATCAATCATAATAATCTTGACAAGATAAATCGTCAAACTTTGATCTGAATAATTTTGAACTTTACTGACGAACAGTTAAAGATTATTTTCTCTAACTCGAGATTATTCTGCAACATAGTGTCAAAAGGTAATATGTGCTCGTGATTCGTTGAAGGAATCAATTTGAAAACTGACGAACCTTTTCATTCCGTGACTGTATAACGATGATTTATTTGGACTAAAATGTAACTTTATTGTTTTGTAAATATGAGTCCTAAGCTAAACACATTTCTGATTCATAGCAATGAGGGCTATCGTTTTAGCGCTCACCAGTTAGCGCCACTGTAGAGTAAGGGCCTGTCACTTGCTAGTAACAAAGACAGTGGCGCCAACTTGTGAGCGCTAAAGTGTTATGAGGACTATCGTATTTGCACTCATCAAGATGGCGCCACTGTAGAGTAAGGTACTGTCAATCGCCAGGGGTGCCAACTGTTAAGTATAAAAAAGATAGCCCTCATTACCTACCTAATACCTATTTATCGATGATTTATCTCTATGAAAAACCGGAAATAGAGATAGCCTCCGTTTTAAAATTGTTATCGATTTCCTTATCATTTACAAAATTAACTAATTTTCATAGATGCAATTTTTGACCTTGATTTCTTTTCTCTTTTTCTTTTCATTTCTGAAATGATTGCATAAAGAAATACTAGAAAAACCACGATTAACAAAACAGCTCTGCCTTTAATGTTCTACGCGCTTTTGTCAATGTTGTCTGTTATTAATCGCTTATCTATGGTGTTTGTCTGCCTTTCCACGGTCACTTGCTTTCTTTGATTTGTGTTCCTTGTGTTCCTACCCACGGTCACCGCTTTCGGCTTTTGTTCGGCAAATATTTTGTTCGTTCGATCTTGAAATATTAATAGGAATGGGACTCCTTTTCTTTGGGTTTTTAATACATTCCATATTTTATGCTTGTTACTAATATTTATGGGTAGATACAGGAAGTCACGGAAAGTCTGCTATAGATGACCCACGCTGAACTGTCCCACCAAACTCAATAACAGGGGGGCGCTACCATCGTTCAACTATATGGTTTCCAACATGGCAAAAATCGGAACCAGCGATCCGGTATTGACCGTGGCGCCCCACTGTCAATGTCATGCATAGGACAGTTCAGTATTTTGAAACTATATTAATAAAGTAATGTCATGGTCAGGCAAATGTATTATTTCGGTTGTTCCATGCCTTTCTGGACATCCTGTAATTCTTCATCTCGTTCATTCCTTTCCTTCATATTATTATAAAAACTTATCATTTACACATCCATCATCATCATCGTTAAGTTTTGTGTAAGTAAAAAGTTAATTTCTGCAGTCTTTTGTTGTGTTGTTTTTTTTTTGTTCATTTGAAACAGATTTTTTTTTTAATTTTAGTACATAACTATTACTCTTAGAAATTGAGAAATATTTTGAAAGATTCTATCTTTTTCCGATCTTAATATATTTTTTCTTTTTTTATTTTCAGCCTCCGAAGCAAGTGGCAAACGACTCTACAAAGGCGTCCTGGACTGCCTCAACAAAATATACAAGACTGAAGGTCTCCACGGCATGTACAAAGGGCTTGGACCTCTCTACCTGAGGATAGCACCTCACACGACCCTCTCGTTAGTTATATGGGACATGTTAAATAATGTATTACTCGCTCATAAAAAAAGTAGTTGAAATTACAGTGTGTTTCTTTTCTGGAAAACCTACTTATCTATCGGATATAGAAGATATTAGAGGGGAAAAGAACTAAAGCTTTCGGGAGATACGAAAACTTATTAGTAATTTGATCCAATATATGAAGGTGTTCAGTGTATTGTGTGTGTCAAAGCAGCGGAAGGAAAAATAATCAGTCCTATACCTGTCGTAGCAAAGTAATACAACAGCTTTTACACATTACAAATCTTTATTTTCAAAATTCAAACTCACATAGGTACAAAATAAAACAATCATCAAGACTGACAAGCACTCGGAGGAGTAAAGTGTATCTCCCAATCGACCTCCATAGAGCTGCAGTTGGAACTCACTTCGTCATCCTCACACGAGCAGCTGGAATATGCCTCTGGCTCCTCTCCTTCGAAGTCGCTGCACGTGCAGTCTGGATTGTTAGGGTCATAGGGCGACAGACCCACCGCTTGCTTATAAGCTTTCAAACAAGTCCTCTCGCAAACCTCAGGGTGGTAGGGATCCTCCCAGACATCATCTACAGCCTCCTGTATCAACCGTCTCTTTTTCCTTTCCAGCTTGGACAACTTCTCTTTATTATTTGCCTTAGCTATTCTGTACACAAGCGGAGTACACTGCTCCTGGTTCCCCTCACTGTTCTCTGGTGATCCTTGCATTTGAACTATGTATTCACCGTTGACTTTGCAAATTACCAAGGTAGGTTTGGTTTCTGTTCGTTTCTTCGCTTTCTTTGAAGGCTTATTCAGTGCCACGGTTGACCTGGCCATCTTTATCCTTTTTAGTTTACGTAGCAACCGCTTTGATATGGCACCCGGTCGCCATCCTCTGGCCACCTCCTGTAAATAATCTCATTTTAATACGATATTTAGAAGGTATCATATTATACGAGTTAACAAAATAAAAAAAACTTACTTCATTAATCAAACAATAAAGAAACTATTCTGAAAATAATAGGAAATTATAAAAAATCGGTTAAAGTCACAATATTTTTAATATCGTTAGTCGTTACACTTACAGAAACCAAAACGTTACGAAATTTAACTTAGCACGTTACCAAATGTCACTTGCACTTAAGATCCTATCTCTAAAACCTTACACCACAATTCGAACTACACCAAAAATAAATATCTTTTGGACACAGCATCAGGCTAGTTGGCTTGGGTGGCGACACTCTTGCCTCTGGCGGCGAGCGCGTTGAATCGCTCCCGCTGCTGCTGTTTCATGATCTCGCTGTTGATGAACGAGTGGAAGCACGGCAGGTGGAACGAACTTAAACTGATACCCTGCTTATTCAAGTCCGCTAGCCTGTCCTTCGGCCTTTTATTTCTATAATTCTTCAACCTGAAATAAGTCTTATTGCCGTGAGCATCCACCGCCACTATTCCTTTTTCAGATGGCACAGGGTGCCTACACTTCGTCCGTTCCGCAAAATAATTCCAAGGATCGTAAGCTTCGCCTCTGTGTGCTCGAGGTTTCCTTCCTCTCTTTGACTCGGGCCGTCTAGGAACAACTGAGGGCTGAGGAATTGTGACGTCTTCCCCGCGCGCTAACATTTGCTGCAGTGTAGACAACAACAGCTTTCTATCTAAACCATGGCCCATTATACCCATCTTACCCAAATCCTTAGGAGAAGCATCGCCGAAACAACTCCAGGTGGCAACGGATGGTTTTATCTCCGGTTGTTTCTTTTTATCATCACCTTTTTTACCACCCTTTTTACCGGGTGTGCGAGGCTGCTTCTGAGGTGGAGATGCTCTAGGTTTTGGGTAGAATTTCCATTTTCCTTGGCCGTCGACATAACCGTCAATTCCAACGACTAACCATTTTAGATTAGTGGCTTGGAATTTCCCTGTCTCAGCGTCAACCTGTTCGCCGCTCGGGCCGATGAAAGAATTGGGAGCCCACCGATTGTCCGGAGCTATGTAACCGTCAACGTTGATTTCTAACCATTTACGGTCAGGGCTCCAGAATCCTCCCAAATCACTGCATTGTTGCTTTCCATCTGGCCCTTTGAAGAATCTTGGCACAGGGTTTCCAAATCTATCGGTTAATTTGACTCTGTAATCTAGGTAAGTGTATTGAGTACCATTATCGACTTTTAATACTTTTTTACCCTTATACGTAGGATCGAATAACGCATTTGGAGGAGTAAATTCTACTATCCATTCATCGGAATCTGTATCAGAGCCTAGAGAAGCAGAATCTTCTGAACATGAACACGAAACGTCCAAGTTAGTTCTATCTGGTCCAGGTTCTGCCGGGTAGCACGTGCATTCTGGATCTTCTGTATCAGGTAATATGCCAAGTGCTTGCTGGTAAGTTTTGAGGCAAATATCTTGACACATGTCTTTGAAAGCGCTTTGAATGAAATCGCGCTGTGCTCTTTCCAGGCGTCTTTGGGCACGTTCCTTCTTCAGTCTTCGTTCACGGTTCTCTTCATCGCTTCTGCCGATAGTGTACGTGACAACAGGTTTGTCTTCGTATGGGTGTTGGTTAAGAGCTCTTGGTTTAGAGTACGCTTTCATTGTCTCCATCGTAACTGTGTACTCGCCTTCCTTCTTATGAACAATAAGAAGTGGCCTCTTGAGCGGACGTTTCTTCCCTTGATCCTTCTTTCGTTTCTTGGCTATAACTTCGCCAGGATTTTTAGCCATTCTGAGTAAGCGTACAACAAATTTATTTGTTGCTCCAGGTTTCCAGTTAGGTCGAAACTAAAAAAATAAAATAAAGAAATAAACAAAAAAATACTGAAAACCTGTTTCCACTGATTTATCATTTATAATTGAATTTATCTTACCTTCATACCAGGAACATCTTCCGCCGTCCAAAGCCAACCCATATGTTTAGGCACATTGCCTAACGTGCCTGTACAAGGCATGGCGCATTGACTGTGTCCAATTTGAGGCGCTGAAAAGTAAGGTCAGTAAATAAGTAATGTGATTCCATCTCCATCTTCTTTATTTATGATGAATCTTTAAAAAAATATAAAAAAAATGCTTAAATACGTACGTATACCTTGATAACCATAATTAAACTTAAATCTGTCATCCTTCTTTTTCTTTTTCCCTTTTTTACCATCTTTTTCGGATTCACCGCTTTTGTCAACAACTGATTTCTTTCCACCCTTTAGGTTTCTCCTGCTATCACTGCCAGAAGCACTAAATGACTTAAACTTTTTGTCTACAAGTTTATGAAAAATTGGACAAGGGAATGGCATATCATGCCCAGGCCTGCGTGATAATTCATCTCCGGATAACTCGTAGCCTCCACAAATCTTACAGTAGGTTGTCTTCTTTGTAAACCCAAAAGTACATTCGCAAGAACAGTAACAAGGGTCGTTACCAACTTTCATTTTTGCAGTCATACCTCCGACTACTTCTTCTATCTTTTCAGTAACATTGCAGCATTCTCCTTTGAGACCAGACATGTCAATCAAAATCCGATCATCAGGTGGGGGTGGGAGTTCCCTGTGTTTCTTCACGTCGCATTCCACATGGTCACACTTTGTAACACTGATGAGGTTCGCTGCTTCTTGTGGCAAGTCTATAGAACAATGACTTAGAGAACGCGACCCGCTTGTCGCTTTTTTGCTCGGGCATTCACTGTCACAGAGTCTGAATTTAAACTTCTCCTTCACTTCTTCTGACTTATCTGAACTTTTAGTATCTTTGATCGATTGTTTAGATGGAGTGTCCTTTTGAACAGTAAAATATCCCACGCAGTATACTTGATTTCCAAAAGGACCTCTACGGTCGCCGAAGATGTAATCTAAAGTATTCAAATGATTTTCATATTCCAATGATGCATACGATTTTGACTTTATCAGTGCTACTGGTTTTTCAACTTCTAAATCAGTATCGCTTTTTACCAAGTCTACAATCTTTTCTTTTATTTGAGTAATTGATTGATCAGGTTCTTTCACACTGGGCTCTACCCGCTCTGGTGGAGGCTCTGGTTCAGCGGTTTCAGTGGATCTATTCAAATTTGTTTTCAATTTCTTCGGTTGAATCGTGGCAGAGTGCATTGTTTTAGTTGTTGCTTTAGAACTTTTATTTTTATCTTTACTTGATCTTTTATACTTCCTCTTGCCCCCGGAATATATAGTTTTAATAGTGCCTGGGTCAGCATTGTCAACTTGCAATGCATTATCTTTTTTGGCTACTTGCTTATCTTTGATCGTACTCAAAATAGTCGTGGGCTTAGAATTGAACCCTGTATACATAAATGTTTGTGGATCATCTTCGGAAAGCGATCTGAACTGTGTGGTTACTTTATCTTTCAGGCAGCTTAATTTGATGCTCATTTGTATAGTTGCCATACGTCTCGAAGATAGCTCATCAAATACATTGTATGTCCCTTCCACTGTTACTGGAGTAACATCCCGATTTTTGATTATGTCATTGAGGTAGGCAATGTAAGGTGTGCTCCAAGGAATACTCGTGGAACCCATTACGAGCTGAGGGTCATCTTTACTCCAAAGTGTAAGTTGCAAAGGATATGTTTGCATATTCATTTTGAGTGAGTCCACATTGTTGGCAATTAATATGGACTGGCCAATTTTTATTTTAGGTTCCACAGACGGTGCTGGCGCCTTTATAACTTTGATCTTACTGTCTCTTACCTTCGATTTTCGTTTAACCTTTTTCCGGTTGCGTTTTGGAACCGCCACCGCCAATTCATTTGGATCTTTTAAATTAAGTGAGAATAAATCGGCGAATTGACTCGTAATATTGAATTCCTGGCAATTAATGAGGCTCTTGATTTCCTCTACCACTATTTCAAACAAAAACATGGAATCCGAAAGAGACATTTTCAATCGATTACGCTTACGTTATTAATGGACGTAAATTATTTATTTGCTTTCAAAATTACATAATTTGCACCTCAATTTAGAATTTTTAAAGAAAATACTAAAAAATAACTTTGAATTTTCCGTGTTGCCAAAAATGAAGTAACTATTTTTTATACATTTTTTTCTACGTCACAATTCTAACTCTATGCGGCCATGATCAAATTACAAAAAAAGCATGTTTAAAAGAGGTTTTACATTTTATGAAAAATCTTTGGACCTCAGTCATGATTACAGAATAAGCGCTTAACTCGGTCAGTGCCTGAGGTATTTNCTATATTTAAATATAGGATTTATATCACTTTACGATCTTCAATAAACTACGCAAGGAATACTTATCCGTTCAAAAAAAAATATCGTGTTTGTTACTGAAATTCAATAATTTATTAAATTTGAAAAAGATACAGAACATTTACCAAACAATTTTTATAAAAATATTTTAGTTTATGAAGCAGTAGAATTATTACTTACTTTACTTCTGATATAAGATTGAGCAGCAACCATCGTCACTGTATTATGCCTGTCCATTGTAAACGGCGATATTTTCTTACTGGGAGTGTTAGAGGCTCTATTCGTTTTTATAGGAGGCCTAAATTCATAGAGGTCATCATACATCTGGAGGCCCTTCATTATCTCACGGTATTTGGCAATTTTCCTCGGATCCATATATCGGGGTCGCTCGTTGTAACTCTTCATTGTAGGCAATCTATTGTCATAATTCATAACACTCATCACTACTGCGTTCTTGCCTCCTTTTCCAAATGTAGTTTTAGGAGAGCCCCTCTTGCTCTCTGTGCCTTGAGCCTTCTTATCAGGTCCTTTTCCTTTCATCACAGGAGAAGGCGCTTTGCCCTTGGCATCAGGTTTGTCTCGAGGTGAATCTCGCTTTGGAGATTTCTCTGTTTTAGTCGAACCTGACATCGTGGATTTAGTACTCTTAGCACCTTTTCTCTTAGAGTACCATGCCCATTTACCGTCTTTGTCGATATATCCATCAATGCCAATTTTCAACAACTGACCAGAAGCGTCAGCGAAAGAACCCTCTTCAGCAGAATAGAACATCCCATCCGGTCCTATGAAGTTCATTGGCACCCAACGGTTATCAGGCCCTATGTAACCATCTTTATTGATTTCCATCCAGACCTTGTCTGGGCTCCAAAATCCTCCTAAATCACTGCATTCTTGTTTCCCATCTGGACCCTTGAAGTACCTCGGGACTTGATTTCCGTATTTGTCTAACAGTTTCACTTTGTAATCTAAGTAATTGTATTGACACTCATTCTCTACTAATGTAGGTGGGTGTTTTGCTTTCTGATCCCATCTCGCTGCCGGTGGAGTGAATTCAATGGTCCACTCGTCATCATCTGTGTCTTCACTAGACACAGAACCTTCGTCAGAGCAAGAACAGGAATCTATTGGAGGACTAAGATTTTCCGTGGCTTTAGTTTGGCACGGGCACTCAGGATCATTCGGATTTGGGAGTGGAAGTAAACCTATAGCTTGATTGTAGGCTTTTAAGCAAATCTCTTGACACTTATCTCTGAATGTCGACTGCAGTAATCGGCTCTTCCTCCTCGTTTCCCGTCGCTCCCGTCTTTCCTTTTGCTTCTGTATTTTCAATTTCTCTTCCGCTGATTTCCCTATAGTGTAAACAATAGGCGGCTTTTCATCATAGGGGTATTGAAATACTAATCTTTCTTTTGAGTATTTTTTAAAGACTTCCATCTGTACAGTGTACTCGCCGCCTTGCTTCTTGACGACTAAAGTTGGTTTCATTTCTATTTTCTTCTTGCGTTGCATCATAGCTCGTTTTTTCTTTGCTATTATGTCTATGCCTTCCCGCATTGCTCTGTATCTTCTAACTAGGATTTTGTTTGCTGCGCCTGGCTTCCATTTTGGTCTTGGCTGTAAAAAAATAAAAAGTAAATAGGGTACAAAAGTAGGTAAACTGTTGACGAAATACTTAGCTGTGTAAACGTGTATGAAAAGAAACAAAGTAATGGGCTGTTACGTCATTTTATTATGTTTACAATCAACAATCGAACCATAACAAACGATTTAAAGCTAAATTTTATGTTCTTTTTCGTCGTGGAGATTCTTTGCGTGTACTTTTACTTGTGTTTCCTTTAGTTTGTTTGCTTCTATTCTTTCTTGCCTGAAAGTAAATAATATTTAATTATGAAATTTCTAAATGTTAAACTTAAAACCAAATGCAAATTAGAAATACGATGAAAAAAACAATAAAAATTAAAAAATAAACTCACCAACAAAAAAATGCAACAGTAAAACAAAATAAGTAAAATCATAATATTAATATTATTTCTGTGTTGGATGTTGAAGGGACAATCGCAAAGTTCAAGATTCGATCCAAATCCAATCAGTAGAAGTGCATCAGTAAAACAATGCAATGAGTAGTAAAAGAAGCAATTTGTAAACACAGAACTAAGTATGAAAATTGCTTCATCATGACTGTCTTCATGTACCTATCACATAGTCCTCGCTAGCCATTTGTGAACCCTTTTTGAATCATTGTACGAGCTNTTATGAAAATTCTAAATGTTAAACTTAAAACCAAATGCAAATTAGAAATACGATGAAAAAAACAATAAAAATTAAAAAATAAACTCACCAACAAAAAAATGCAACAGTAAAACAAAATAAAATCATATTAATATTATTTCTGTGTTGTGTGTGTGTTGGATGTTGAAGGAACAATCAAGCAGAGTTCAAGATTCGATCCAAATCAAATCAGTAAAAGTGCATCAGTAAAACAATGCATGAGTAGTAAAAGAAGCAATTTGTAAACACAGAACTATGAAAATTGCTTCATGACTGTCTATCACATAGTCCTCGCTAGCCATTTGTGAACCCTTTTTGAGTCATTGTACGAGTACGACGAATAATATGATGTAGGTAGGTATAGTTCGATATTTTAATTATAAAATAGTGTACTTAAATCACCTTCATGCCAGGGATGTCTTCGGCGGTCCAGTTCCAGCCCATGTTCTTGGGGACAGGCGGGTAAGGGTATTTTGTTTCAGGTTTCTTCTCCACTAGTGGTGGTGCTGAAAATATAATACTCACATTTACCAATGTTCTCGGTGTGCCTAATTGTTTTGTTTTGCTCCTATTCATTAACACTTCTTTTTTAATCAGAAGGCTATCTACTCAATGCAGGCAGATACTGCATTGAAGACAAAAACTTACCAAATACTCAGCTGTATTTAAAGAGTGCTAAATACTGATTGAAATAAAAAATACAATACGCACGCTCTTCATCGGCGTTGGCAGTAAACTTCCCAACTTTCTTCTTCTCTTGTTTTGCTTTCTTCGCTTTATCCTCGCCCCCCTCTTTCTTCTCTTTCTTTTCAGTTTTTTTCTCTTTCTTATCTACAAAACTCCGTATAGATCTCGAAGTCGTCAGCCGCCTCTCTTGGTTCGCGCCTAACTTCGACGTTGACTTGGAGCTTTTCGTACTCATTTGATCCGGTTGTTTCTTACTTTCTTCTTCCTCAGGCCACGGACTTTGTGTTTTAATGTATTTCTTATCATACAACTTGTGATACACAGGGCACGGGTGTGGCTTGGCATAGTCCGGCTGGTCCCGCATGTCGTCGCCCAAACATTCGTACCCACCACAAACGGCGCAGTAAGTAGTTTTCCTTGAAAATTTAAAGGTACATACACAGTCACAGTAGCAAGGATCATCGTCTTGAGTTTTCCGTTTCTTACTCGTCACTCCGTCTACTATGAAGTCTTTCACTCTTTCAGCTATGTCACACGATTTGACGCAGCATGGATTGTGTATATCGTCAAAATGTATAACTATATTGCTGTCAGCTGGACTTGGAGGCATATCTTTTTTAGATGTGCACGTGGGTCCGATACATCCTTCATCGCTTGCCTGCTTATCTAATAGAGGCGTCGGGCAAGTCGTTTTAGAACATGAAGTTTTTTCTGAAGTTTTCATACTTGGGCAATTTGAGCCGCAATACTTAAATTTTGGATCAGACGATTGAGATGATGGGCCAGTGGTGTCCTTTTCAAAGTCATGTTCCACCGTAAAGTAATAAACATTGTAAACTTTTTTGTCTTGCGCAAATGGACAGCCTTTTCCTTCACAGCGGCCTGATTCTTCGCTGGATTCCGCGTTTTCGCAATCTTTGCTACAGATAGAGGCACATGAGTTTTTCTTGGTAAGAGCGTCTTGCATTGTCTTCATACAAGCGCATTGAGTGGAGAGTCCCTCCAAAGTGCTAGCCTGACTGAAGACCCCTTCGTGTCTAAGGAATTGTTGAATCTTCTCCGCCAGATTGCAATCTTTGCTACCACATGGGCCTATAACATCATTAATTTTGAACTCTTGGTTATCTTCATCCACCATATTTTCTATGTATGCTCTCATATCTCTAGCTATTCTACAATCTGGTCTTCCACAAGGTCCTCTAATATTGGCTATATCAAAGGTAACTGGACGGTTGTTTGGAGGCCTCTTTCCAGCATTTATACACATAGGACAGGGGCCACTTTGTGCCTCTTTCTTAAATCTTTGAGCGAACTCGCCGGCTGGCCAATTCGTTTCTTTGCAATAACAAAGTCTATCAATATCTGTGGCTTTCACCCTTGGAGATATAGTTGGTCGCGGTGTTAACATTCTCATGTTATCATTACAGGACACGATTATCTTCCTCACATAGTCAACAATGTGATCGACATCGGGACATGTTTCTGGAGCTTTGTAGATGGACTCCGGTGGCTTGTCAGCATTGCCCATGCAACAGTAGTCTCCATCGTTGAAGAACGTGAGATTCGCCCCTGGGGCATTCTTATAATCGGCGAAAACGATTTTATTTGCAGGCTTAGGTTTATCTTTAACAAAGTTATTTTCGATCTTATTACAGTTTTCTTCAAAAGTTTCGTCAGTTGTTTTCAAGGTGCACATGTAAGAAGTGGTTTTGGAGTTTATGCCAGTGTACAAAACTTTTTTAACAGCCGGATCTTCAGATAGAGTCCTGAAGCAAGTGGTGACTCTATCAGTGAGATATGTCAATTTAACTTGGATGCTAATTTTTGCCATCAGCTTAGCAGTCCCTTCTTCAAATATGTTATATTCTTCGTTCAGAGTAACCGGTAAAGGTTCCTGACAGTTACATATCTTTTCTAAGTACTCTAGGAACCGTTGGTCCCACGGAATGCTGTTAGAGCCGATATAAACTAAATTGTCTTCTTTGCTCCACAGAGACATTTCCATGGGAAACTTCTTCATGTTCTGTATTAAGAACTCTGCACTACTCGTGAACAAAACGGATTGCCCTGACTGAATAACCGGTTCGGGAGGCGGTTCCGGTTCTTTTCCTTTCTTGCCCTTTTTTGGGGGAGGTTTTTTCTTTCCTTTCTTTCCAGGCGGTTCAGGAGGCAGCGGTGGGGGCTCCGGGATAACTATGTGCATTTGCTTGGGATCTTTTAATTCTAATGAAAATATATCGGCGAATTCACTTCGTATGACAAGTTGACGGCTCTCTACCAAGCTTTTAACATTTTCGATCACCACCTCGAAAAGGAACATTGCGTTTGTAACAGCCATTTTCAATTTTTTTTTCTCTTTTGTAAGATGTAAAAATAATTCGTATAAGTTTTACATATTTATCATTTTCTAGATTTTCAGCACTTATTCGCTAATTTTGAAAAGTCGCGGTAAACAAATAATTGGAATAAAATTCATAAACAGTCATGTTGACGCTGTCGTTCATTTATAATTTTTTAACGTACACTTTCCGTGTAGCCAGTCGTAGTTCCTCGTAGTAAGTTCGTAGGTTCGTAACGTAAGTATGGTTTTTGAACGTACCTACCGTAAATTGAAATGTTGAAAAACATGAAGTTTTCGAACGATCTCCGGTCAGCTGATTGTCACTTTGACGTTTCAGAATGTGACGAATTTCGTATGTGTATTACGAAACAAATAAGATAAAATAAAAATTCCTCGGAGTTCTCCAGTTTTGGACGACACACGATGCTTGTGGCGGAGTTTATAATAGAATACAGATGATGACTGAACCTTACCGGTTGTGAAAAACAAGCAGGTAGGAATTTTCTCAGTGACTACAATACTGTGTGTTGTAGGATTACAAATTTACGATAATAATGTTTAACAATATCGTAATAACTTGTTCAAATTGCGCGATTTACGTCATTCACTCGACACTAAATATCGCTCATTGCGTAAAAAAATTCCAGTTGCCCGCGCTACCAAATTCATTTAGAAACTTCGTAGCAGTATTTCTAAAAAATAACCTCAATTATTGTAAGTTTTTTGACCATAACGAAATAAATTTAAAAGTTCAAATGCTTAATATTATTGGCTTCAAAACTTACTTTTGTTTAACTTACGTACATTTTCAATTTATTGCAAAGATTTTTAATTTATTCAAAAGTTTTACTTGGATGTTCAGTGCTTATTACTGGTTACAAAGCAGTATTTTCAAAAGTGATTCATTATTTGAGTGCTGAGTGGCCTGTGTGTGTTATTTTGTGTGATTGTCTTTAGTTACTTAGCTGTGTTAAGTGTGACAGCATGTGTTTGTGTAACAATTAAATAATATTCCTGTATTCTTCTTTGTATATTCTTATTCTAATATGAGTCTGAGTGCTATCAAATAAAAACTACCTATACTACTGCTTAGTGATGATTAAAAAATTTATAAGTAAGAATCGTAAAATTCCATAGCACCATGGACTTCATCGTTGGTGGTATGGCCGGAGTGGGGGCGGGCTTCTTTAGCAACCCCTTCGATGTGGTGAAGACCCGCATGCAGTTGCAAGGAGAGCTCCGAGCACGAGGCCAGCACGCCGTACACTACAAGAACATACCGCACGCTATGTACACGATTGTGAAGCATGACGGAGTTATAGCGTTGCAAAAAGGACTTGTACCGGCTCTGTGGTTTCAATTAGTGGTTAATGGTGTAAGGTATGTTGATTTTTTATAGTAAATATTAAAATAAACATTGCTTAAAATATTGCTGTAAATATTGTTATTTTCAGATTAGGCATTTACCAGCACGCAGACAACTTTGGTTGGTTAAGAGATGAAAAAGGAAATACGCTGTTTGTCAACAGTTTATTCTTTGGATCAGTATCAGGAATGTGTGGTGCATTTTTCGGCAGTCCGCTGCAGTTGGTAAAGACTCAACTGATGTCATACTCTTCGGAGAAAATTGCGGTTGGAACGCAACATGCTCATAGAGGATTGACTTATGCTATGATGAAGATTTATAGAAAAAACGGCTTGGGAGGCTTATGGAGAGGAGCCCATGGCATGATGATCAGAAATTCCATGGGATCTGCATCCCAAATAGCAGCATATGCAATGTAAGTACTGTACTTGAAACTAATGACAAATTAATTAAGCCTTGAATAACATTTCCACTCGATTAAATGATAAGTATTAAGTGCTTTGCTATCTTATCAGGAAGTGAACCATTCATTGATATTTGCATTCAGATTACCTTATCAAAAAATAGTAGCATGTGTAGTGTACTTCCATAAGTACATTCCATCACATTGTGAAATTAATAGTACTTCTTCATCTTGTCCATGTCTACCCAGTTAGTCAAACTCAGTTTATTATACATATTTGATTATTTCTAAACTTCGACTCTATTGGTCTTTACTAAGTATAGACGGTTATAAATTGACCATTTAATTTTCAAAAAGTCACTAAAGAATTTTATTGGGCCCTTCTATTGGGTATATGTGGCCGCGATCCTCATCAGTGAGGTACCGAGGAAGAATTACGCCCATATTCACAAACTTTACTATGAAGTCTCATAGTGCGCGTGCATGCACAGGATGACACAAGAACCAATCACAGAGCTCTATTTAACGCTGTGCGTTCGATTTGCTGCTTCACTTAAGCAAGCATCGTTTTTAAATACGGGCGTAAGAATTGTTATGAAAATTATCACCAATTTTAAATATCAATGCTTCCGGTTTCCAGTTGCAAAGAGTGGATGGACGACAACAACTTATTCCAGCAGTCGAAGTACCTCTCAGCATTCGTCGCCAGCAATATCGGCGCCGTCGTCAAGACCATCACCCTGACGCCTATGGACGTCATCATGACGCGACTGTACAACCAAGGTTAGNCAATCAAGGTTAATATCAAAACATGTTCTAAACACGTCATCTATCCCTACTAATATTATAAATGCGAAAGTAACTCTGTCTGTCTGTGTCGCTTTCACCCCTAAACCACTGAACCTATTTTGATGTGGCATAGATATTGTTTGAGTCCTGTGAAAGGACATAGGATAGTTTTTATCCCGGTTTTTGAAACAGAGACGCGCGCGATAAAGTTTTCCTATGACAGACAAAATTTCACGCGGGCGGAAAGCTAGTGTAGTTATAATAGGAGCGATTTTGCTACTGAAATGTTTAGTCTGAGGTATGTATAGGTCGTTTCATCCACGTAGACCCACCATTCTTCCGCTAATGTTTGAGTGTCATCGGTAGACGTATAAGTGCACACGCACACTACAATAATGACGCTCGGATTGCTCGGATCAAACTCCCCGCACCCGCGCTTCCCTCGACCAAAAATTGGTGAGGCGCGTCTTCGTGGATAAAACGATCTATAACAGACACAATTTATGCCCATGGACGTCATTATGACGCGCCTCTACAATCAAGGTTAGTGACGTCACGCACGTGTACAGACAATAGCATTTCTAAACACCGCAACATAGTGCGATGTAACAGAGAAGTCTGATGCGCCATCAACTGTACAAGGTGCAGAGAACAGAAAACTTTTTATACTATTTGTTATTGCGCATATGCGTCTGCTTACGGTGTACAGTATAAATTATGCTAATGACATCAAAATATATGATGTTAACATAGGTCCGTTAAAACGTTTGAAATATTTTCCACACTGGAAAAATCGAATCGAATTTTGAGTCTTTTTCATGTCAACTTTTGTACTGCCTATGTTCAAGTAATTTGTATTTGAAAAACATTGGATTGGGTTAGAAACGAAACGTCACGCCTCTAGATAAACACCATTCACGATTGCTTCACGTTTGAAAAAAGAACAGAAGCCCTTTCTGCCTAACCCTAACTAAATATTTCTTTAACTACTTCCAGGCGTGGACGCCGAAGGCAGAGGCCTGTTATACTCCGGCATAGTGGACTGCGCGCGCAAGATCACCAAGACCGAAGGCCTACTCGCCTTCTACAAAGGCCTGGGCCCGTCGTACCTGAGGCAGGCTCCACACACAGTATTGCTCCTGGTATTTTGGGACATGTTGAAAGATGTCCAGAAGAAATGGGAGTCGAAAGCGTAGGGATTAACTATGTGTTGGTAAATAGTTATGATTGCATAGTAAAATTGTCATTGATAATTGTAAGGATTGAAAGTGATTCCTAACCAGGTTCCTGGCCTATTTAAGGTGGAATTTTGTACTTTGTGATACAAAAGATCTATAATCTAAAACGATGTTAGGTACGATATAACGAGGAAGCACCTTAACAATTAAAGTTGGTAAAGAAGGATAATAAAGAAAAATAAAGCTATTTTTCCGTATTTTACAAATAGCTACAGCTACCTTTTATACTTTAAAAAAACAAGGCTGCTCAACCTTTTTAAGAGTCGGGCCAAACGGTGGATTCAGTCTTTAACGACGGGCCACTTACATTTCCTATTTCAATTAGGTGACCAGAACAGACGGTGAAACGCAACTGCAACGAAACTGCAACTGCTAGTTACTTTTGAGTTGCATCTAAGTTTCTGCCATAGCGTCCGTTGAGAGACCACACATGACGCGACCAGTTTGAAACTTTCAGTTTCATTCATAAGAATCATCAGTAAGTTGCTGTTTCGTTGCAGTTGCGTTTCACCGTCTATTCTGGACCTTACTCTCAGGACAAAAAACTCTATTATTATGATTAAAACATACTTGCGCGGGCAACTTAAAATTCCGCGATTCTGGGGTTAAGCAGCATTGCTATAAAACGACTTGAAACATAGTGTCGATTTAGAAGTCATGGTGAATGCATGAATAAAGGTCGGGCGTTATTATTAAGTGGTGGGTAGATTGGGTGAGAGAACAAATCAGCTTTTTAGTACAAAATATACTTAAACCAAAACAAATTAGTTTTTAGTTGTAATTTATTTATTGTAAGTATTACTTGACATAAGGTTCTGGCTGAGCAACGATAAATTGCTTATTTGCTAAAACTCAACGCACTATTTAAGAATCCCACAGATAGTTTAAGTTTCAATCTCAATTTGAATTTAACCACACATAAACAATTCATATTTTATTGTATTAACCCATGAGTATGAGTGATCCCTATGTTTAATATTAAAAAAAATATCACATGACCAGTATACATTGTAGGTTACGCAAATAGTGATGGGCTAAAATGTACCTATCATTTCATATCACGTAAAATATTAAATTCAAATCTTTTAATGAATGCACAATGTTAAAAAATCCTGCCTATCACTATTATACAGTATTACGCGAATCTGATACCTTATAAGCATTTTTAACAAGTGTCGTATTATCATAGTTTATGTTTCATTGTTATCATACAAGAATATTATATTATGATGCCTATAAAATATTGTCCTATTAATAGGTTTTTAATACGATTACCTAATAGCAGCAGAGCTGGTATTATTATTTTCACATATTAATTTGACCATTTTGATTGTTGATGTCGTGTATTACATAGTAAATGTGTTTTAAAGTTAATATTCCTTAGGTATATTATACTTTATGATTTATTTACCTATATTAGCACAGATAACTTAATGTATTAGTAAAACAATGCAATATTAAGCTTTATTATTGAAATAGTTACAATAAGATGATACAAACAGTTTTAAATTGCACCTTGTTATATTTGTTTTAGGTAAGTATCATTTTTTATCGAGTGTATTTTCTTTTTGTAAGCAATATATTTTATAAAACTTATATTGTATAAGTTTTTTGTTTCTTGTGTATTGTTAATTAATTACATGTTACTTAATCATTTTACTGTACCTAGTAGGAAATAATCAAAAACACAATATACGTTAATTAATTGATGATTGAATTAGTTAATTGATTGATTACCAGTGACTTTTTGTTGGATATTTTGTCCGACACCAGTGAAACCAAAAGTTACAGTTTATCTTACAGATAAGTGAGAAAGAATGTATCAGGAACTTTATCAGTGAGTGGTGGAAAAGGCCCAACCTTTTAAAATTAACCCACTTGTTACTAGCGTTCTTTTAAAAGAACGCTAGTTTTTACATTAATATTTTTACTAATGTGGGTAGTGTAAACAATTTTTATGTGCAACATTTGAAAGATGAGGTGTGTCGCAGTACTGTCCAAGTCTCATAAGTACACTGACGTAAATAACTATAAAGTTAATTGATTGAATTAGTTAATTGATTGATTACCAGTGACTTTTTGTTGGATATTTTGTCCGACACCAGTGAAACCAAAAGTTACAGTTTATCTTACAGATAAGTGAGAAAGAATCTATCAGGAACTTTATCAGTGAGTGGTGGAAAAGGCCCAACCTTTTAAAATTAAATTATTTATTTACATAATTTATTTATAGATTATTGCCAAATCTTTCGTATACGAATCTCACCATTAATTAAAATTAAAATAATGCACCATGAATGGACAATGGTGCAAATGATAATGCGAATAAAGCTATATAGTTAAATATTTGTTATTGTTTGTGTGTTGATATAAATTCATTGTAATTAATAACTATGCTATGAAACAATTATTGTTAGTATTTCCAGCCAAAGAATAGACGAATGCAAGTATTTATTGAATGTTTTAGTCAGAAACAAGATAATTTTGTTAGACTTACATAAGTACGAGTATTAAATACTTCAAAATAATATAAGAAGTGGCATGAAAACCACGGTATTTCTTACATCAACAACAAATTACATAAGTACATAATATTGTTTGCGATAATTNTACGTACATTTTTTTTGAGAAATACTCACATAGCAACAAATTTTAAATATAAATAATTATTTTAAATAGAATATACTTTTAATATTGTGCCTTATAGACTTTCTACTGTATGTATGCTTTTTAATGTTACCGAGATGTGTAATTGTTTTGTTATATTACATAAATAGTTTTATATTATGTGAAATTGGGTTTTTTTAGTCAAAAAGTCAAGGTTGTCTGAAATAAACATGGTTAAATCTAAGACGGTATTTTATTTTCGCCTTGATTTATTAATAGTATTTAGATAGTAATATATTAAAAATTACAACCAAAAAAAACAGCAATCGACTGTTTAGAAAAATGAATATTCGGCGTTTTCTTCAGAAAATCGTCCGGAAAATGGCAGAGCGCAAAAAAGATGGCGTCGGGCGTGACGTCACCGACCTGGCCATGGGTGGCGTGTCCGCCATGTTCGCCACACTCTTCACTAACCCTATTGAGGTAAATCAACATCTATTTTCTTCTACAAAAACGTGAATAACTGAAATACAACTAAAAATTCATGAAGGTACAGTGAGCCATAGTTTCAGCTAACCATTTCCGTTTTTCTCTCGTTCTCATCAAATGGTGATTCTTTGGCGGTAGGTAGTACGAGACGACATGACCGGAATACTACATTATTTTGTAGTACGTTTTTAAATTGTTAAAATTCCGTTTGGATTGGATATTTAGAAATTCGTAATTTTCTCTATTTTAAGGCTTGTACGTGAAAAATATTCCAAATCTACCCTTTACTTATATTTTGCGTGTGTGTTATTGAATCTTCATTATCCTTTCGTTCCACTCCCAAGCCTACGTCTCAGGACTCTATTTAACTTGACTGCTCACCCTGATTAAACTGTCTAGGTTGTCAAGACCCGTCTCCAACTGCAAGGCGAGCTAAAGGCCCGAGGGCACCACGCGGTGCACTACAAAAGCGTGGCACACGGCCTTTACGTCGTCGGGAGGACCGAAGGCCTGGCAGCGCTGCAGAGCGGCCTGCCTGCTATGCTGGGGTTCCAGTTCTTCTTGAACACGTTTAGGTAAGAAATGGTGATTTTACTGGCTTAATAGGGCTGTTTATCTGGGGCAGAGGTTAATTCGGGCTAGTAAACGAATTAATTAATTGAATGTAACACATTCGTTTGTAACCCACTAAAATAAAATAAACTCGCTTTCGAAAGAGATAGGAACTGTCGTTTTGTACAAAGAAAAATCTGGAGTAAAAGTATGACCGAGATCATTTATCAGGCAGTGGTGAGCAGGAGACAGACAATAATTAGAGACAGCTCTCTATTTTTCGTTCGTTCGTTCGTTTGTTTCAGCCAAATGACGTCCACTGCTGGACAAAGGCCTCCTCCAAGGTTTTCCACAATGCACGGTCCTGCGCTACCCGCATCCAGGCTCTTCCCGCGACTTCTCTATTTTAGCTCGCTGGAAAATTTGCTAGTTATGTGAGGCTCGAATTCATTATAACCTGGAATGCTCCCACTATCCCTGGAGGTCCTCTTACTACACCTCCTCTATGATAACAACCTTGCAGAAGTGTGCGGGTGAAACTCCTGAGTTGTCGCATGATCATATTAATTACTTTCACGAGTAGATAAGAACTTCTCTGATCCATGAAAACTATTGTTTCCAGGTTAGGCGTATACCGCATTTCCGAACGCCGCGGCCTGACCACAGACTCCAGCGGCCGAATTTCAATATTCAAGGGTGCCTTAGCAGCAGGCGTAGGGGGTGCGCTGGGGTCCATAGCGGGTACCCCCTTCTTCCTCGTGAAGACGAGGCTTCAAGCTCAAGCGGCACAGGCGATCGCGGTGGGGCATCAGCATAAACACGCTGGCACCTTTGGGGCGCTCGCTGATATTTACAGAAGGGAAGGCGTGAGAGGTTAGTGATAATTCAGAACTCTCCAACTTGCACTTGGCAATAAAAAAAAAAGAAAGTTTTTTTAGCTGTTTCTTCTCAGCACTGGTCCAAGAGTTAAAATCATACTGGAAAATATGAAAGAGCTTTTTTTAAGTCTGCAGGCCAAGTTAAAGTTTGCCACGCTTATTGCGTTGATTTTACTGCTGGCTGTAGTCATAATAGATTGATAATCAAATAATAGCTCCATTTGCCCCTGGTATAAAGATTGTTGAACACCTGCAGTGGAGATTAAATTATGACCTGATGATGACAAAGCAATAAAGACTAATAAAATTGTCCTGATAACAGGGTTCGAAATTATCAAGATAATTACGCTTCATAATAATAGTCAGATAATTATATTGTTTAATAAGAAATTCTGATTGCGAATCTTGCTTTATGTTTGTGGTTGCTGATTGTTGTCAAGTTATCCATCGCTAGTCGCATAAAGCTAAAAGGAAAATAGATCAACATTTTGACGCTAGATAACTAGTGATCATTGTGGAGCTAAATAGATAGGTTTTATAACTATCTATGTTGATTAACGCCCACCACTAGACGCAAGCACGACGCAAGTGCGGAAATACACGTTCGAAAACATCGAATACAGTACATTTTCACAAGTACATTTTTTTGTTATTATCAACCGATAATTATCCATCTGTTATCGTGATAAATATCATTGATAATATTATAAAATAAATATTATTGATGATACTTTCGAAACCTGCCTGATAATGATGAAAGGACGCCTTTGCTCCAGGTCTATTCCGAGGAGTTCAGCCTCAAATCCCTCGCGGCGCAGTCGGCAGCAGTTCCCAAATGGTCAGCTTCTCCTTCGCCAAGGAACAACTCCTGGAACGCGGATGGTTCAAAGACAGTCCACTGCTGCTGTCGTTTGCGGGTGCCAACCTGGGCGGCCTGGTCATGACGGTGTGCCTGAACCCGTTCGATGTAGTCGCTACCAGGCTGTCTAACCAAGGTGAGATACTAATTAGAATAAATGTTTATTTCTTACAATAGGCTTCCACAATTTTTTCTTATCTTATTATAAAAGCGAGGTTTTGAGAGGACTTATGTGTGTTATAGCTGCTGCAATTTCTGCATGGATTTTGATGGGATGGCTTTATGTTTTAACTTATAAATCGGACGCAGATAATTCAAACGCAATTCTTAGATACTTCGAATCGAAATGTAGGTAGTAGGACCATAAACATTTTTATGACATCCCCAAATTGATTTCCGAGAATTTGCCACATTGCCACCTTTAAAATAATTGCACCAGTTTCCAAACCCTAAGTATGTTTTATTTTGGCTAAAGATGTTGGTCTATCTTTCCATCTTGGCTTTCCATAATGTTTATTTTAAACGACTTCAAAAAGGAGGAGGTTCTTTAGCATCACCAATAGTGCCAATAGTTAGACATTATTGAAATATTAATTTTAATAATTTGCAGCGGTGGACAGCCAAAACCGCGGTCTTCTCTACAGCGGCATGACGGACTGTTTTGTCAAGATGCTTCGCGCGGAGGGCTCGCGCTCGCTGTTCAAAGGCGTCGGAGCCAACTACACTCGCCTCGGGCCTCATACTGTGTTACTACTGGTTTGTTGGGACCAACTAAAGGCTCTCGAAGACAGGATACGCAGCTAAAAGTTGTTGGTAAAGTCCGGTCGCCGAGCAGATAGAATTTCGTCGAATGACCCCCAGCTACCACCCATCCTTATCGCTCGCGTGTTATTAGATTGCTGTCGCGCTCGCACACTCACTGCGGCCATTAATTCCCCTTTTGTAAACTTTAGTTGATTTCCCTGGCCTTTTACTACTGGTTTGCTGGGACCAGCTGAAGGCTCTCGAAGACGGGATACGCAGCTAAAAGTTGTTGGTACAGATCGTTTCATCAACGAAGACGCGCCCCACCACCTTTTGGTCGGGGGAAGCGCGGGGTGCGGAGAGTTTTATCCGACCAATCCGAGCGTCATTGTTTGTTGGCATTGGCAGCGTTGCAATTGGATAGTTGTCAGTAAGTGCGCGCGCACACAACAATATAACTTTTAGTTATAGTAATTCCATATATGCGTGTTTGTTTTGTTGGTTGTCTAATAAAATAAAATAAATAAATAAAATATCAGGCTCCCCGAACCCCGCGTTTCCCTCGACCGGGGAGTGGTGGGGCGCATCTTCGTGGATGAAACGTCTAGAGATCTATAATTAATTTCCCTGGCCTTTTCTTCGCTGTCCCCGTATTGGGACATTATGCGTGGTTTGGGAAGACAGGATACGCAGCTAACCTGCTTGGTGGTTAATATGACTGGGGTTTTTCTCTATTTTGTTCCCTTGGGACATAAGTTACGCCAGAAAGGTCGCAACTAACCTATGACCAATAAAGTGTAAGTACAAAATGTTTATTTACTTTGTAGACTATGTAATGATTATGTCACATTACAAATAGTAATACCAAATTGACTAAAATAATTTATTTATATTATTAAATAAAAACGGGCTTCAAAATATTTTTGAAATTATTTTTTTTTTATAATTTAAGCTAATTTTAAGGCAATGTTGATATTAAATCAATTTTCCTATTTTGTTAAATAATAAAATGTATTGATGTTGAACGACGAAATTTTATTATTTTCGACAAATTCTAATACTATACCGCATTAGCCATTTGCCTCGAGAATAATAACTAAAATAAATCACGAAACATTAAAATAATAAATATTGATGATAATTAAAAATAACAAGTGATAATTTTTGCCCAAGACAAGACAAAAGCGCCACTCAATGATGCTAACTAACATTAGCAGCAGTTTGTTATAAAGCTCGTTAGATGGCGTAGCGTTCGCGCTGCCCCGCGGTGTGTGAGTATTTTTTCCGTTCCTTAAAGCCCCCGAGAGACTTTGTGTCGTCACTCTGGTTTCCCTTCAATACGAATAAATCTTTCGCCTTTTACTAAAGATTTCCGTGGAGGGTAACACTCAAATGAGTCTAACTCTATTTTTGACACCTTGCCTCGTGCAAGGTAAATAATCCAAAGACTAGGGAGGGAGAGGTAGTGCCCTCTTGCTTACTAAGTTTTAATAGTAGTTGTTCTCTTATATTTAAATAAATAATTATTACTAGCTTTTGAACGTGAAGTTTCATCAAAATCCGTTCAGTAGTTTGCGTGAAAGAATAACAAACATGTTGACATCCATACAAACTTTCGCGTTTATAATATTAGTAAGATTACGTAAATAGGAAGGTAATTAAAATGTTAAAGTGTGTGTCAATGTGCGTGCACGCACTTGATTAGAGATTCAAAAATCTGCCTAAAATAAAACGAACAAGTTTGTACTCAAATAAGTATGCTTTTATTCAATAACAGCACACAATTACAAAAATATGCCTCCAGGCACAAACTAAAGCGTTAATTAATAGTAATAAAATTACAATAATTATGGATTTACTAGCTAGCTTCGATATAAGTAATTATGCTAAACGATTTAAGACGCTTTGTCCCTTAAAATTACTTGAGCGACGGATTTATTACATTGTAATATTGTTCAAAGCATACATTTTATTGAATATTCATTAATTTGATCAATTAGATGGCGAGGTAGCTTAGACAAATATGATTTAAGGCTTATTTTTCAACCACCTGTTAATTATCTGTATTTTAACCGACTTCAACAAAAGGAGGAGGTTCTTTTTACATAAAATATTAACAATTTTTTACATGAAGAAAATATTATGTAATGTAAAAACGACAATTTTATTGTACAGATTTGAGAAGATGATGATTGAAAATAAGTTAATCAAAATAAAGCTTAAACACAAGTAAATATCATCCTTAAAAGGACTTTGAGCTTATTTTACAAAATCCAATTATCTTTCATTGTGCATAATTTTGACTAAAGATGTCTTCACTCAGAAATAGAAAAATTAAGGTTTATCTCATTCTATCTACAAGTTGTACTTATAAAGGTCCTATAAAGATGTTAGATAGATTGGACAAACAAATAAATTAAAATGTTATTATTAGAGATTCTAATAGAAGATCAAAAAAATTACGCCTTTGTGCATAGACAAAATATACAAGAAAAATGATTAGTTAGTACTCGTAATTTAACCAACGCACACGAATACTTTTATTTTTCACATGAAACAAATTATTAGCTTTTCTAGATGTTTATGTTTGTGCAAATAAAGATACTGTTTCGAGCACTTCTCAGTTTTTTCATACACTTTGTATGGTAAAATATAACACATAAAAACATATTTTTCACCATCTGCACCAGGCTTGCTGAGCGAAGAATCAAACTTTTCTACTGCCTATCACTTAACACCTACACCGTTCGTAAAATATTACCAGCACCGATTCTCTTTAAAATACGCGATGTATTAAAACAGGCGACGCTAACTTACATTTTGAATATTCTATAGCATTCTCTAGCAGTTACAGATCAATTTAGAATCGTATATAATATAACAACAATATTTTCTACTAGTCTTATTTTCAATTCGAGCAACAGCACACCAGATTTTACATTTTTGCTGCAAAGTTCAAACATACAACGATGTTCAAACAATTATTCGCTTACTTTTAAGCTACATTTGTATTACAATAAGGCTGTTTGTTTCTATGATAAAGATAAATAAATAAATAAATATCACTATTTCTCGAATTTAAAATATGTTAAAAAATTAAGATACAAAGTAAACATTAAATTAGATAATTACAAAGGCAGTTTAAATTGACTATTGCAATGCAATTGGTAAATCTAATTAAGTACATACCTATATTTTGTTCATTATGGTTTTGTTAATACAAAATATTATGGACGACATGTTTATTAATATGGGCGATGTTTGTAACAATTTGTATGTATAATTATGATAACTAATATTAACATTACAGGCACACATCATTTTCTTTTGGTAAGAAGCACTTCTTAGTTGAGATTAATTTAGAAATTCTACAATATTTTTTAATTTATGAAAGCTTGATGATCGCAATGGTGGTTCAAACTAGATTTCCCCCTCTTATTATAAAAAAAAACTTCAAAACCGAAAATATTTTTCCAACAGATCATTCTTACTTGTAAATAGTAGTAAAGTCACAAAGCTTTAGGCACTTGTGCAGTAACTACTGCGAAATTTTTTGTTTTTAAGTAGCCTAGCCTATTGGCCGATTCTATTAAAATAATCAGTGCTTTAAAAATGCTTTAACTCCCTTTCGACGAATGGGTAAAAATTCGGCATAGACGCTTCAAAACTGTCAAAGTAACTAGTGCGGAAAAAAGTCGCAACAGCTTCTTAAAATACAGTCATCAACACGTCAGACTATGAATTTTTGTAGCAAAACCACTCTTATAACAACTGCATAAGTTTCTATAGATCTAGCGCCTAACTGACAAGTGCCTGAGGAATGGGAACGGCACGGGAGGGTGTTTTTGTGACGGTTAAACGTCAGCGAGACTTCAGATCTACTTCAGAGTTGTATGCTCTGTCACGTCATAATAATAATATTGGTTGGGCCTATGCCCAAATTTCTTATGTTCCTTTTCTTCGGTGGCTCCAACTCTCAAAATTATCTAGCTGCATGAGATGGTTTCCCGCCAATCTGTTTATCGGATTCGGGGCCAGCACCTTCGCAGGAGCCAAGTGACCAGTGTTAAGTGTCACGCGAGAAACCTCAATAAAAAAAGAATAAAAAAAAACAGCACTCGTTGTCTTTGAACGTTTGTCAAATGGAAAAAAACCTCTGAACTTAAACTGAAATAATCAAAACCGCAAGTAAACCGCAAGAAATATCGACGGGTCGACCCTCGAAGCCTGGTCTCCGTCTCCTGATCCGCATGTTGGTGGTTTCCGTTTTATGCAGCTGTATTTTTGAGTTGTTTGGAGTCACCAGCCGACCCCCGCATCATTTCTCTTCTCCGCAAATATTCCTGGTGTGGCTATTTACACGCCAAATATGTAAATGTCACCCCTCCCGTGCCGCTTCCATACCTCAGGCATTGATACCCGTTTTCACTACCAATCCCTAAATTAAGTGACCCCTATCAAAACAAAATTCCTGTTGTGTTACCATAGGGGTCATTTAAAAATTAGGGATACGGTGAAAACGGGCATGAATCAGTTAAGCGCTTTATTTATAGTATTTAACTGGATGTGCAGTAACATTAACTATTCGATTCCCGCGCGGTGCGCAGGCGCCGTCAAACAGGTCCTAGCGCGGTGGCGCTGCGTAGCGGCTTCGAGCGGAAACCTCGGCTGCACAGTTGCGTAATTTGTGTTGGCGTCTTGCCGCGCGTTTCGGGGAAGTATAACCTGGAAATTAATAATAAGAGATGTAGGAACAATTGCTAATTAAAAGGTGTATCATAGGACCCACTTGTTCAGCATCTTTAATTCTGTTCGAAGTAAATAGAAAAAAAAAAACATTTTAAAGATTTAAATTACATTATTACCGGTTATTGAAACCAATAGGAGTCTATAAAAGGGAAGTGATGGTTAACGTAATTCCTTTTTCAAAATCGAATCTTTAAAATAAAAAGATCATCATCATCATCATCTCAGCCGTAGGACGTCCACTGCTGAACATAGGCCTCCCCAATGCTTTCCATGTTACTCGGTTGGTAGCGGCCTGCGTTCAGATAATAAAAAGAAAATAAAAAGATCCGTCTGGGAATCCCCAAACTTACTATAAATAGTAATAGATGAGCAATGTGAATGAGAATGTTGTAGAGGCACTATCGATTTCTGACATCACGATAAGATTTTATCGTGACGCGCATCGTAGCCTAGCAGAATTGCTTTATAAAAACACTTACTTTTGGAAGACAAACAGCATGGCAGTGATAACAGCGAAGACTATAAAGGAGTAGGGCCCGAGGCAGTCTCGCATGGTGGGGAAAGACATGCCCACCACGAAGTTGCCGCCCCAGTTGGCTAAAGAACCCCATGCCATGCCCGCGGGCCGGGGACCTACTTCGAAGATCTCTGCAGAAAAAAAATCATCACATTGAAAAAAGTAGTGAACACCTTAGTCAAAAGGGCTATCGTATTTGCCATTAGCGCCACAAAGTCCTGTCAATTTCTAGTTGCCAAGGCAGTGACGCCAACTGGTGAGTGTTAAAGCGGTAAAATTCTCATAATTGCACTCTCTAGATAGGTGCCACTATAGATGACCTTCACTGAACTGTCCCACCAAACTCATTGACAGGGGGGACCATCGTTCAACTATACAGGGTGGAAACGATAAGTGAGCTCACTCGATTATTTCTAAACTGTACGAGATATCCAAAAACTGGTTACTGATCCTGAAAGTGATTTACGAGTTCTATCCAACGGTACCAATAATAGGTTACAAAATACTCAATACTTTTATTGCATAACCACATTAGCATTCACATTTATAGGTCTTACAATTTAGGCAGTTATACAATGTGGACCCAGTTAGG